GAGAAGTCTGGTGTGATTTTTATGGGTTTACTTTTGTATGTTATTTGGTTTTTCTCTCTTACAACCTTCAATATTCTTTCTCAGGTCTCTGTTGTTTTAATGATAATGTGCTGTGAGGTAGATCTATTTTGATCTGGTCTGTTTGGTGTTCTGGAGGCCTCTCGCATCTGTATGGGAATAGTTTTCTCTAGATTTGAGAAATTTTCTGTTATTATTTTGTTGAATATATTACACATTCCCTTTGCTTGCAGCTCTTCTCCTTCTCCAATGCCCATGATTCTCAGGTTTGGTCTTTTGATGGAGTCAGGGAGTTCTTGCATTTTCTTTTCACAGGTCTTGAGTTGTTTAACTAATAGTTCTTCGGTTTTTCCTTTAATTACCATTTCATCTTCGAGTTCTGATATTCTGTCTTCTGTTGTTCTATTCTGCTGGATTGGCCTTCTGTTTTGTTTTGCAATTCTGTTTCGTTCTTTTTTCTGAGGTTTTCCATATCCTGAGTTGTTTCCTCTGTAATGTTGTCTGTTTTCGTCCTTAGTTCATTTATCTCTTTATTTATCGTGTTCTTTGTTTCACTTTGGTGTTTATACAGTGCTTCTATGGTTTCCTTTATTTCTTCTTTTGCTTTTTCAAATTCTCTATTTTTGTTGTCTTGGAATTTCTTGAGTGTCTCCTGGACATTTTGGTTGACCATATCCAGTATCATCTCTATAAAATTCTCATTGAGTACCTGTAGTGTTTCTTCTTTTAGATTATTCTTGTGGGCTTCATTGGGTTATTTGGCATGGTTTATCTTCATTTTGTTGGAGTCTGGATCTGAGTATCTGTTTTCTTCATTTCTCTCTGGTTCCAGTATCAATTTTTTGCTGTGGAGAAACTGGTTTCCCTGTTTTTTCTGTCTTCCCATCATTGCCCTTGGTGTTGTTATTGTCTCTGTACTGTGTGTAATTAAGTATTTTCTAGCTTGTAATAATAACAATGGTGATATTTAGAATGGAAGGGTGAGAAGTGAGGCAAAGCAAAGAAGTTAAAGAAAGGGAAAAACAAATAGACAAGTAAAACAAAAGAAAACAACCAACCAACCAAAAAAAGTTTCAAAAATATAAACAGGGAGAGATAGTGTACTGATCAACAGTAAGCTGAACAGGCATTAGACAGAGAGAGGACTGAAAATAAATAAATAATAAATAAATAAATAAAATTGAAAAGAAAAATATCTCCAAGTTAAAATGCCATGAAGTTTCAGTCTTAATAGTTTTGGTGATAGTCCCTCAGCCTCCAATCCTGGAGATGGTGTCTCAGAAGTAGTTCTGTCATTGTCTCATCAAAGCGGTAAAATAAAACAAAATAAAACCAATAAAAAACACCACAAAATGTCCCAAGTTCAAATGCAGTACAGTTTCAGTAAGTTTTTCAGCATGCAGGTGTAGTTCAGTTGTTGTCTCATCAAAGGTAGGGATGGAAAAAATCAAGGCTGGATACAGTTCTGTGATAGGCTATCTGAGGCTGCGGGTCACCTGCCTGCTGCTGTCAGCCTGCTGTTGCTGGAGGCTTTATTTATGCAGATCTCAAGTGTGAGCTTAGCACTCACCTGGCCCTGCAGGCTTTGTTTACTTAGAGTTCTCCTGGGCATGACCGCCACTGCTACACACTTTCCCTTTTCCAAGGACACTGGGGAGGTGACACTGCAGCCACTTTCTTAGGCCGGCATGTTTATTTACAGTTCACCTGGGAAGTGGGTCTTTCCCCCCTCTCCTGTGGAGTTTTCCTCCAAACACCACTTTTACAAGCTTTTCTGCTCCTGGTTGCTAGGCGTGTGCCACTGCTCCTGCCTTCTCTGGCCGGCTTGTTTATTTACAGTTCTGTGAGCGATTCCCCCCCACCCCCGTTCGGCGCTCAAGGCACCCCACTGTTTTTGCTACGTGTGTTTTTTGTTGTTGTTACTGCTTATTATTCATTTTTTTTTCTTTTTTCCCTGGGTGGGGGTCGGTCTGTCCAGGGGGCTATGCTGATCTGGCCCAGGGTTGTCTGTGGGAGTACCATGTACTACTTAGCTCATCTTGTGGTCTGCGTCTTCCCAAGTGGTCTGGACGCTGGCGTCTGGCGGCAGCGCCGGAGCCCTCCTTGTTTCTCCATTTAATGTGAAGTGGGAATGTTACGTGCAGGCTGGGGGTGTGGAGGAGTCAAATTTTTGCCTCTTCTTTGTGGTTTTTCCTGTAAAGTGAATCTCCAGCATCTCTCCAAGATTTTACTTTAGGAAACATGCTTTCTGCTTCCTCCCTCTAGCTGCCATCTTGGAATCCCTCACGATAGGCTCTTAAATAGTCCATAATATCGCCGGTCTCCCAAATTGGTCGAATGAGACTTTGGCAATCCTCGTTAGCATTATAAAAAGCCAATTGACGCAGTAAGATATTTTGCATTTGCTGTCCTCTCACCTGTTTTTCTATGGACTCCTCCAATCTTCCTATAATATCAGAATAAGATTCAGTATTTCTGTCATATTTTAATAATCCTAAATTGTTTTTATTTACTTTTTATTTTTAAGACATAGAAACTCAATTGAAGGAGTGTATTAAACCTTTTATCCTTTTCTATCTCTAAACATTTTATTACATTTTATTTTCTTTCTCTCTCTCCTTTTTCCCTCTCCTTTCTCTCTTTCTCTCTCTCTCCTCACTTCACCCATGAATACCTCATCCCAATTTTGTTTCCATTTCTTCATTTTTCTCTCTCTACATTCACAACCCTTCTGCAACATTCCTTTTCTTTCACGTCAGACCAGCTCTTATGTATCAGTGCAAGTCCATCCTTCATGTGTTAATTTTTGTAAGAGCTCAGTTAGTGCTGAGCCTCAGTCCTCCTCATAATAAATAAAGTGATGCACGAGTGAAAGAAAAGGCTGGACTGTACACTGATTTTGCCCATCTTGTCTCACCTCCTTCTGTGAGGGTCTCTGCGTCACTGTCAAAATTTTCCTTCAGGTCCCTGTTCAGGGTGTCAGCTGTTGACGTTTATCGGCTGGACCTGGGTGACCAGAGCCAAAAATGATCAAGGGACTATAGAGTTGTGCTCAATAGCCACTTTATTGAAGATCACTTCTGCTTTTTATATACTCCTTTTTCACAGAGAGCATTTAGTCAGAAAAAGCACGCCAAGTATCACATGTCAAAGTCACATTAGTACAAGGAAGCACAGTTAAAATTAACTCCTTTGTTGTGTCTCTTTTAAAACGGGAACAGAGAGGCAGGAGAAGCACACGATTAGCATAACTTTCTTATTTACATCTAAAGGATGGGGAACCTTGAGCTCTGTTATTTTTCTGGATGTCTGATTCTGAGACCTTTTCCTCAGTTCCTTGGAGCTTTCTCACAAGGCCAGATGCCAAATCACACAGGCACGGTCCCACTGCTGACTCCGACACACCACCACCCAAAAAAAAAAGATGACAGATGCATCTAGAAATCCTAATTACTCAGGAGGCAGAGATCAGAGTACAGAGGTTAGATGCCAGCCTGGGCAAAAAGTTCTTGAGAACTCCATCTCAACCAATGAAAAGGTGGGCATGATGCTGCACACCTGTCATCCCAGCTTTGTGGGAAGCATAAATAGAAGGATCTCAGTTCAAGATTGACACACAGGCATAAATGCAAGATCCTAGTCCCAAAATCCCTAAAACAAAAAGGGCTGGTGACATGGCTCAATTAGCAGAGCTCCTGCATAGCAAATGTGAGGCCCTGAGTTGAAATCCCAGTAGTACAAGAAAAGAATAGATAATTCAGTGGAACAGAATAAAGAGTCTAGTAAACCCACATACATACTATCACCTGATCTTTGACAAAGGAACAAAGCAAACAGTTCAATTTAAAAATAAGTAACTAGGCACAGTGGTGTATGCTTACTGTTCCATCTACTCAGGAGGCTGAGGCAGATAAATCATTTGAGCCTAGGAATTCAAAGCCAGCCTGGCCCCATCTCAAGAAAAAAGCAGCCAGATACTGGTGGCTCATGCCTGTAATCCTAGCTTCTTGGGAGGTAGAGATCAGGAGGATTGCAGTTTGAAGCCATCCTGGGCTAATAGTTTGTGAGACCCTGTCTCAAGAATAACGAATATAAAACAGAGCTCAAGTGGTAGAGCACCTACCTAGAAACATGAAGCCCTGAGTTCAAACCCCATTACCACCACACAAAAAAAGTATATATATAAAAGAAAAGAAAAAGGGTTAGTGGTGCAAAAGGCCTTAATAGACATCTCATCAAAGAGAAGTACAATCAGCATGTGATCGATCACATGAGAAGATACTCAACATATACATGCCGTTACAGAATTACAAATTAAAACCACATAAGATATCACTACACACCTGTTTGAATGGTCAAAATTCAAAACACTAAATAACAAAAATGCAAGGATATGGTCTGTAGGAAATCTTGTTTTTTAGTGGGAGTATAAAATAGTAGTCACTTTGGAAGACAATTTGGCAGTTTCTTCCAGATGATACATGCTTTTACCATATAATCCAGCAGTAATGCCCCTTGGTATTTACTCAAATGAACTGAATACTTATTTCCCACAAAAACCTGCACACAACATTTATAGCAGCTGTATTTATAATTGAAAAAATAGAAACAATCAAGATGGCCATTAGTAGGTGAGTGAATAAATAAATCATGGTACATTCAGACAATGGAGTATTATTCAGTGATAAAAAGAAAAGGCAGTGCTGGAGATTTGGCTCAAATGGTAGAGTGCCTGCCTCGCAAGCATGAAGCCCTGAGTTCAAAACCTCAGTAACTCTGAAAGAAAAAAAAAAAAATAAAGGGTATACTTTAAGAGATCATATTTGGAAAATGAGAAAAGCTGTAAGTATTCATCCAAGATAAGACAAATCCCTGAGAGTAATTTTAATTGTGACCATTCAAATTAATTAACACACAGCAAATACATTTTAAAACAACAGATTTCTATTCTATAAATTCATCTTGCAGAATTTCTTTTTCAGGCCTCCCCCTTGCTCAGGTTGAAGAAGACAGTGAAGAAGCTCATTCTGCATCTTCTTTCTTTGCAGAAGTTTCACAGTATACAAGTGGGTAAGTAACAGTCCATTAATTCAATCCCCTTCAGCATTGTTTTAGTAATTCCACACTTTGTTCATTTGTTTGGCAATACAGCTTTTGAACCCTATTAATTGCAGATTTTAAAAATCAGCTAAGGCAAAAAGAGTAATGCTGGAGTTATCACAATACCTGATTTCAAATTACACTGCAGAAACTTAATAACAAATCAGCATGGTAATGGTACAAAAGCAAAAAGATAGACTAAGGGAATAGAATAGAATACCCAGAAATAAACTCACACAGCCACAACCATCTGATTCTCATCAAAAGCATATGTTGGGGGAAAAAAGAAGTCTCTTTAACAAATGGTGCTGGGACAATACTATAGAGCTGTAGTAACAAAAACATCATGGTACTGGCATAAAAACAGACATAAAGACCAACGAAATAGAATAAAAGATTCAGAAATAAGCCAACAGGCTTAGGTTGTACCTCTGCAACAAAATGCTGTTGGAAAAACTGGATATCCACAAGTAGAAGACTGAAACTGGATCCTTATCTCTCACCAGAATCAAGAGGCAACCTACACACTGAGAAAAAAATCTTTGCCAGCTATTTATCAGATAAAGGATTAGTATCCAAAATACATAAAGAGCTTCAAAAATTAAACCGCAAAAGAACAAATAATCCAGTTACTAAATAGTCAAAGGAATTGAACAGTTCACAAAAGAAGAAACACAAATGACTAATAAATATATGTTCAGCATCCTCAGCCGTAATGGAAATGCAAATCAAAATGACACTGAGATTCCACCCTCCCCCATTCAGAATGGCTATCATCAAGAAAACAAACCACAACAAGAGTTGGCAAGGATGCAGGGGGGAAAAGGAACCCTTATACACTGTTTGTGGGAACAAAGATTAGTGGAACCACAATGGAAATCAGTACGGAGGTTCCTCAAAAAACTAAAATTAGAACTCCCATATGATCCTGCTATACTACCCTTGTGCGTATATATCCAAAGGAATGTAAGAATGCGATAGATACCTGCACACCCATGTTTATAGCAGCATTATTCACAATAGCCAAACTATGGAGTCAGCCTAGGTATCCTTCAATTGATGAGTAAATAAAAAAAACGTTGTAAGATTCAACCATAAAGAAGAATGAAATTATATCATTCTCAGGAAAATGGTTGGACCTGGAAATACCATGTTAAGTGAAATAACCCATACTGAGAAAGACAAATATCACATGTTTTCTTATATATGAAATTTAGATCTAAAGAAACAACAAAAAGAATGAGAGGAGTGTAAAATGGGGTGGGTTGAGTCTTTGAGGAACCAGTGGGAGGGAGAAGGTGGGTGGGTGAATATGATCTAAGTACTTCATACATTGAATGAAAATAGAATATTCAAACCCACTAAAATTGTTTAAAACGGATGAAAGGGAAGTAAGTAATAGAGTGGTGAATTTGATCAAAGTACATGATATCTATGTGTGAAAATATCACAGTGAAACCGCTTTGTGTAATTAATAAATGCTAATAAAAAAACTTTAAAAAAATAATGCTGGAAAGAGTAGATATCCACATGTAAAAGATTGAAACTAGGTGCCTCTCTCACACTCTGTATAAAAATCCATCACCTTCATCAAAGACCTTGATGTAGAACTGAAACTTTGGAACCACTAAAAGAAAACAGGGAAAACACTTGGGCATATAAATATAGGCAGTGACTTTCAGATTAGAACTCCAGTAGCTCAGGAAATAATAGCAATAATTGACAAGTGGGATTGTATCAAATTAAAAAACTCTGAGCTAGAAGGAAAATGATTACTATTAGAGTGAAGAAACAGCCTAAAAAAATGGGAGAAAATCTTTGCTAACTATTCACTCAAAAGGTGATTAATATTATCATGTTGAGTCAAATGAGCCAGGATCAGTGGAATATCCCATGTTTTCTCTCACATGCAAATCTAGATTTAAAAATAAAAGACATGAAAGCAGAAGGTGGACTATATGGGAATCGGAAGGGGAAGGGGCACAGTAGAGGGTAATGGGGGATGAAGGGCCTCCCACTTGCTTAGGCAGGTGCTCTACCACTTGACCCACACTCCAGCCCAAAATATTTTTAAAAATCAGCTAGTGATTTTAGTATGAGATTTTGTTTGCTGTAGTATTGGCTTTACATTGAAGAAAACTTATTTTGGGGTTTTACCTTGAAGTAAAAGGTTGTAGGTTTTAATGACACCAATCTTTTTTTTTTTTCTTTTGTATATCTGAGAAACAAATTCAACACATCTGTTACTCTTGTAAACTGTTCAACACATCTTTTACTCTTGTAAACTGGGCAAAGCGTGACAAAAGTGTCAATATTTAGAATTAAACGTAGAAAAACAGGTTACAGTTTTACAGTGATAAAAGCAGTTGATGTACTTTACTAGTTAGGAGTTATTTTAATCATGTTATGAATAATGTAGGAAATATTTTTGCATTTACATTTTAATATTCATATAATATATAATGTATAATTTAAATTTTATGTACATTTAACCTCTACATATAGGTAAAAATCCAAAGTACAATAGGAGTGCTCTGCTAAACTTGATCTGCTGCCAGTTTTTCTTCTTTGTTTTTTTTGTTTTGTTTTGTTTTGGGGGATCGGGTTTTAAACACAGGGCATTGCACTTCCTAGGCAAGTGCTCTACCACTTGAGCCACACCTCCAGTCCATTTTGCTCCTATTATTTTGGAGATGAGAGTCTCACAAACTATTTACCCAGGTTAGCCTTGAACCTTTATGCTCCCGATTTCAGTCTCCCAAGTAGCTAGAATTACATGTGTGAGCCACCAGCATCCACCTCTCTTTTCTCTTTCTCCCTCTCTCTTTCTCTCTCTCTCTCTCTCAAGCTAATTGACTTTCTTTTGTTTTTGTTTCTATGAGACAGAGTTTTGCTATGTAACCCAGGTTGGCTTGGAACTCAACATCCCCCTGCCTCTGCTTCTTGAGTGCTGTGATTACAGGCATGTACCACCACACCCAATTAGAGCCATTTTAAGTAACAGAAAAATTGAACAGAAAGTATAAAGTGTTCCCTTTCATTTCCTTCTCTCACATTTTGCAGTATTGTGATACATCTCTTAGAACTGATGATATACTATTGTTGATATACAAATGTTAATTCATTATTATTAACTAAAGTTCATACATACAGTAATTAGAAGTTTTTTAAATCCTGTTGTTACTGGAGTGCTCTGTGTTAAACCGTTACAGTAGCATACACAATAATTTCATTGCTCTACAAATCATTTGTCAGTACAGAAACCAGAAAGATACTAATTTTGATAATTTTTAATGAACCTAGTTGCCTCAATTATTTCTTTACAAGGGTTTTTTTATTGTTTTTTGTGGTACTGGGGTTTGAACTCAGGGCTTCATGCTTGGAAAGCTGGTGCTGTACTGCTTGAGCCACACTTCCAGCTCATTTCAATCTGGTTATTTTGGAGATGGGCTCTGACAAACTGTTTGCCCAGGCTGGCCTCTAACCAATATCCTTCTGATCTGAGTTTCCCATGTACCTAGGATTACAGCTGTGAGCCACCAGCATCTGGCTACATTACAAGGGTTTTAATCACAACAAAAGAAAAAATAAAATGAAAGCTTTAGCAAGCTGTGTTTTGTGTGAAAGAGAGAATTGGTGGCATTGGGATTTGAATTTAGGACTTCATGCTTGCTAGGCAAGTGCTCTTACATTTGAGCCACTCTGCCAGCTTTAAATTTCTTTAAGGTGAGTTTTTTCTCTTTTTCTTTCTTTTTTTTTTTTGTTTTGTTTTCTTTTGTTTTCCTTGTTTTTGATCTCTACCTTGGAAAAAGAAGAGAGTACTTCTGTGCTTTAAAAATCTACCTAGTGGTCTGGGGATGTAGCTCAGTGTAGAGCGCTTGCATGATGCCTTAGGTTTAATCTCTAGCACTGCCAAAAAATCTACATCGTAAGGCTGGGGGATTAACCCATAGTAGAGTGCTTCAAAGCCCTGGGTTCGACTCCCACACCACCAGAAAATAACCAAAAACTACATGGTAAAAGATGCAAGAGTTGTAGTGTCCTTTAGGAAATTATTAGGAAATACAGCCACTGATGATATTGGCTAGCTAAGTATTTTGTTTTAGGTGGGTAGTAAACTATCTGAATGTGTTTTTAAATCTAGAGGCTTAGTCTGACAAATATTTTGCTCTTTTCTGGGATTTTTGTCTCCTAGCTACACTGGGTGTGGTATTCCTGGCTGGTATTTGTGGGTCTCCTTGAAGAATGGCATCACTCCTTATCTTCGCTGTGCCGCGTTGTTTTTCCACTACTTACTTGGGGTAACTCCACCTGAAGAACTGCTTACCAGTAAGTAGGAGATGGAAATGGAGACTTTTATTCCTATTATCTTTAAGCTCAAGAATACAAGGTCAGCCAGGCATCAATGGCTCATGCCTGCAATCCTAGCTACTTTGGAGGCAGAGATCAGAAGGACCAAGGTTCTTAGCCAACCTGGGCAAATAGTTCAAGAGACCCTATCTCGAAAATACCTAACAAAAAAAGGCCTGGTAGAGTGACTCAAGGAGTAGGCCCTCAGTGTAAGCCCCAGTACTGGGGGAAAAAAAAATACAACGTTAGCAGTCAAAACCACTTCTCCCCACCTTGTCATGTGTGTTCACTCCAAATTTGTGTGCTTCTGCCTTGGTGTTTGTGAAAAGTGAAGCCCCAAAGCAGATTAGCCTCATAATCTGAAAACCATACCTTTGGCTCCTGTATATGAGAATAGTTTATGTTCTTAGGTTTATAAAATATTCATAAGCAGAATATAACAGGTAGGATACACAGGAAATTAAAGAGACATTGGGTACCTTTAGGGAAGAGAACTGCAGGAAGACTTTATTGTGTATTCAGATATTTGAATTTTGAACATTTAGCTATATGTTAAAGAATTCAAATGCTGCTGGAAAAGGCCAAGAACATGTACATTTAAGCAATAGGATCATTTTTTTTCTCATATACTTGTCTCTAAATCTAGACCAAAGTACAGAAGGCTTCCTTTGGCTTTCTGGGGTAAAAAATCTGAAAGTTTATATGATTTGGAAGAGTGACCAAAATTGTTCAGATTCTTCCTTTTGTCTTTTGAGAATAAACTGACTAGTCTAACCTTTACTGGCTATCAACTTCTTTATCTTGAACTTGGTTGAGTAAGGTATATTTGATCAAGCTTTGTCATGGTTCTATATAACATAGGATGTCATTTTCCAAGTTATTGCCAGTAATTGTTGTTTGTACACACACACACACACACAAACTCATGCATTTATTTATCTAGTAAGTTGCCACAGAAAAGAAAGTTCTTTCTTTTGTTGGGAGGGAACCAAATATAAACAAATAGGTAAGTATATATAATATTATGTCAAATGATGATAACTACTGTAAAGAAAAACAAAGCAAGCATGGTGATAGAGATGCTGTAGCCAGAATGGGAACTCTGTGATAGTTAGACAAAGGAAGACTTCTCTCTGAGGTGACACTAAACAAAGAGTTGCATAGATGGGACAAATAGTTTAAAAGTATTCCCAAGTAGAAGGGAAAACAAATGCAAAGACTTTGCTTAGCATACTCAAAGAAGAGCAAAGATCTGAGTATGCCTGGATGCCTAATGAACAGGGACAGCCAGGTACATGCACTTCACCAGAGCCTTTATGCCACAATTAGGACTTTGCAAGCTGGGCAAGTAGCTCAGTTACAGATGTTTTCCTAGCAGGTATGAGACCCTGTCCCTGCATAATCAAAAAAAAGACCGTGTGCTGTCTGATCAAGGAGTGACTCAATAACTTGTGAAAAGATCACTTGGGTTATTTGTTACACACTGTTTAGTAAAAATATGTGTCTATATATCATATAGAAATGAGCATAAACAATAAGGAAACTCTTAACATTGACATAGTAAGAATAACACACTTATTAAATGTGTTCTTTTATTTTCTTGCAGATTCTGCAGAGGGAGAATATAACGCACTATGTAGTTATTTATCTTTACCCACAAACTTGTTCCTGCTTTTCCAGGAGTATTGGGATACTGTAAGGCCTTTGCTTCAGAGGTATTATGGGGGTAAAGTGTCATTGTTGGGTTATTACTAAGTTTGAAATTTTTATTTTTGTTTCTGTTTTATTTTATTTATTTATTTTGGAGACAGAATCTCACTATGTAGCCCAGGCTACGTAGGATTCTCCTGTCTCAGCCTTCTGAGTGCTCAGTTTGAAAATTTTTAAATTATAATTATTTACTAAGCTTTAGATTAATTAGCATTGATTGCAGTGGTGGCAAAAGTACAGGAGATTCCTAATTCACATATTTAAGGAGTGGTGATAAGACATCATGTATGGGCAGATTGAATTTCTGCTTGTATATCTGTGACTGCCATACATTCATTTTACTTATCTGCTCCACAATTGGTGTTTCGTTGGGTGAGAGAGGGGTGGTTCCGCTAGCAGATAAAAAGTCACAAGGATGAAAAGAACTTATACTGAAACTGGGTCCAAAGCACCACACCTTACATGGTAGCACACATCTCAGGAGAGTGACTGAGGAGTTACAGAAAATCATTCATTAGATCAAAGATGTATTGCTTAAATGTCCTAGACAGAAATACATCTTTTTCAGAAAAACTTTCTACCCATCATCTATCAGACCTCCTGTTCATTGTGAGCCTCCTAACCTCCATTCTCCTTACCTGTTTGCCTGCACCATTTTCCATTATGTTTTTAATCACTTCTCACTGTGTTACTGTACTTCCCACGTGTTTGTGGGTTGTTTGTTTGGGGGATTTTTTTTTGGCAATACTGAGGATTGAACTCAGGGCCTCATGCTTGCTAGGCTCCATGCCTCTAGCCCTTTTCACTTGGGTGTTTTTGAAATAGGGTCGAGCTTTATGCCCAGACTGGCCTGGACCATAATCTTCCTATTTGTGTTTCCCCACATAGCTGGGATCTGGTGTATACCACCATGCCCAGCCATTCGTTGAGATGGTGTCTAATAACTGTTTACTTGAGCTGACTTGAACTTTTTACTTGATCAGCAAACCTCCTGGTCTCTGCCTCCCCAGTAGCAAGGATTATAGGCTTGAGCCACTAAACCTGACCTACATGATTTTCTTTAGTCTCTTCACTTTTCTTTTGCTTCCTCCACTCCCTCAGGCCCAAGAATTTGTGTGAGTGTTGACCTCTATCTCCTGCCACTTTATTGGGTATTAAGTCTGATACTGAGCTCTTTTCTTTGCTTCCTCATTTCTCATAAGATACTGTGATCTTCAGTGCTATCAAAATGAATTGTTCTGAGGCGGGGGTAAAGCACTTGCCTAGCATGTGCAAGGCCCTGAGTCTGATCCCCAACAAACCCAATAGGTTGTATGAGTTTCCCTTTATATTCCTGGAATAGGTAAGTTTTAAAATTGTTTTTCTAGTTAAGTATTAAAAATTCAAATAAATTGAAACAAAGTCCTTGTCCTGTGCCATGGTCCCACTTGCCTTATCCTGTCTTTGTTCTGTAATGCAGGAGAATGAGCCCTGAAGGTTGTGTTTCCCAGTCTTCCCTTGTCAGCTGACTTCTGCCTCGGTTTAACTGATAGAAGGCACTGACAGAATACTGGAGGCCAGGAATAAGAGAGAAACCTGAGTTTTTAGTCTACGTTTCTGCCTTGTGGGGTGTCTTTGGCAGTGACTGCAGCTCTTTGACTCCTGTCCACGAGATAAACCTATGATTCTGTTAACCACTGGTAACCCTAGGCTCCAAAATTACAGTCTCCTTTTGTTCCTCCAGCTAGGTGTTAGGGGAGTAATCTATAGGTTGCTTTTCCTTTTTGTTTCAGGGTTGGCTTCTCAGCCCTTACATCACTTTTTTTTTTTTTTTTCAGTACTAGGATTGAATTCAGGGCCTTGTACTTGCTAGGCAAGTGTTGTACCAACCAGACTACACCCTCCAATCCTATTACTTTTATTAAATTAAATTAATAGTATTAAGTTCTTCTTGTTTAGCTACTTAGGATGATTTCTGGTTTTCTGGTTAGACATTAAATGGAAAAACCTTTAAAATAGAATTAAAAAAGCGGGAAAAAATAAATAGATTAAAAAAGAAGGGAAGAAAGAAGCAACGTGACAAGATGTAAAATAAAAGAAACATAGACGAGGGAACATGAAAAGAAGGAGAGAGAATGGCTTATTAACAAATACTGTGCTGAACCTGTGGTGATAACACATTTGCTTTTTCTTTGGCCTCTACATACAGATGGTGTGCAGATCCTGCCTTACTCAATTGTTTGAAGCAGAAAAGCATCATGGTCAGGTTGGTTTTCCTACTTAAGCCTTTTTCTTCCACTCACAAGTTGTTTCCTAATGCTGGAATTGATAACCCTCTGGTGCCGAAAACAGACACACAAGAGACAGAAAATCTTGACAAGGCAATTTCTCTTGATCAAGAGGGTGCAAGCATGTGCTCACTCCTGTTAAGCAAGCACTCAGGCACAAAATGGCTGACAGTGGCTCCTCCTTGTATCCCTGACACAGTTGTACCTGCCCCTCACCTGGGATATCCAGGTCAAAGGTTCACAATCTCCCTCAATTGGCTAAAAGGCTTGGGGATGGGTTAGGACATGCAGTTGGCAGGCAATGGAGTCATAAAGGAATCCGGAAGAAGAAGCAAGGACCCTTTAAACATGCAAGTCACCTAAGATGGCGACCTGAGGCATTTTTAAGTAATGTAAGAGGGTAACAAATACCTTGATTCTTAGAAAAGATCATTTTCCTTACACTAACATAATTGGTCTGTGTGGCATGCTTTCTAGTCTGCTTATTCACTCTCACTCAGTGCATTGTTTCCTGTGTATATGTCAGGCTTTGCCAGCATTCAGATTCTTCCTACAATTGTTTTTTCTTCAAGTGGCTCCCTTTAAATTGTTAGAGTCCATCAGCTCCTTTTGGGAGAATCTTCCTTAAGTTAGTTCATACCTATCAAAAGACAAATGAGACGGCATCTGGAGGCTGCAAGTATGTAAAAATTAGAAGATAGTGGTCTGCAGTATTTCTGTAAACTACTTTTGTTTCTTAGAAATAAAGATGTACATAGAAATACCTCTCTTCCCCTCCTTCCCATTTATGTGCTGAAAACCTAACCTTTCAGCCCTTTTTATCTCTTTAGTTATGACTCTTAATAAAATCTACCTTTTCCTCAAGTGTCATCTCAAATGTCAACTTTTCCATAAAGCTTGTCCTAATAACATCCTCTTTTGTATGTATGTATGCATTCATACCCACCAGCACCCTAAACCACTGAGCAGTAAACAAAAGTGAAAACTACATGATGGTCTTCTTTGTATTTTTTCTGGGCCTTGGCTTATATTATGCAGCATGAATTGAATTGCTTCAACAAATGAGCAGAGAAAGGCCAGGAGCTAGCTGGTGGCTCATGCGTGTAATTTTAACTACTCAGGAGTCAGAAATCAGGGAGGATTGAGGTTCAAAGCCAGCCCGGGCAAGTAGTTCAGAAGACCCTATCTCGATAAACCCCTCACAAAAATAGGGCTGGTGGAGTGGCTCAAGGTGAAGGCCCTGAGTTCAAACCCTAGTACTGCAAAAAAAAAAAAAAGAGCAGAGAAATCAGTCCCCTGTTTTACGTACAAAAACTAGTGCCATTTTCCTATGCATAAAGCAAAGATTGTGAGACAGTATATATTTCCCTCCTTTTCTCACCTCCTCTCACCCCTTGAACTCCTTTCAGCTCCAGGATAAACGTGCATAAGCTTTCTCCTGTAACCAAACTTCAATGACTTGATAATAGATCCAGTTCCTGGGCTCAGATACAGCAGTATACATACAAGCTAGAAAAGAAAGACTTCAGTACAAAGAAAAATTTACAACATGAATTTTTGAACTGGTATAGTTTTTCCTTATTTCAAGTCATTTTGTGCCTTTTAGACAACTATTTCCCCAGCATGGTACTGAGTTACTTAAAAGATTTAAAAGAAGTAACACATATAATTTACAATTTATTTGTACACATAAAACTCAAGACATAACATAACATGGTGTGTGGAATATATTCAGAAATTTAAAGGAGAAAAAGATTCTGTTGGGTCTTGGGACCTAAAGGACAGTTGAGTGAGTGTCCCATCCCCCATGGAGAGCTCTATGAGTCCAGACTCTGAGGAGGAGTTACATGGTCCCATAAATCTGCCACGGGGCTGAAGAACAGAATGCTCTCATGGTTGTTTTCCCCCCATAAGGGGCAAATAGACCAGCTCATTGAAGAGAGCCCACACGCGTGAATACACGGTCAATGGAAAGAACCCACCTAACCCTTACCCTAACCCAGAGTTAAAGCGTCTATAAAAAGCCCCAGCCTTCACTTGAGCAGCGAGCCACCTGTTTCCGGACTCCACTTCACTGATGTAGCTGTAGCCTTTTCTTTCTCTAATAAATCCTACTTTGTGTGCCGACCTTGTTGTCCCACGAGTCAATCCCCTGCCTCACAAGCCTGTTCTTTGTCCTGTGAAAGCAAGAACCCTCAACACCAGCCCATAACAATTCTTTTTGTTAATTTGGGTTTTTTGTTTGTTTTTGAGATATACATACGTACATAGCCCAGGCTGGCCTCAGACTAGAGATCTTTCTACCTCTACCACCTGAGTGCTAGGATTATAGGTATGTGCCACTATGGCCAACAAGGAAAAGATTCTTTATTATTTTTTTCATTTATTTTTGCAGTACTGGAGATTGAACTCAAGGCCTCTGGCTTGCTATGGCTCTACCACTTAAGCCATGCCCCTAGCCTGGAAAAGATTCTTAATGAGGCAGGCTAGTCTTAGAGGAAATCATTTTTAGTCAAATATAGAAAGAATTATAGAATGTAAATTGATGCCATTTAAGGAGAAAATTCCATGTTAAGCAAATGCTGTTCCCCAGGGCATGCAAGCAAGTCTTCTTCTATTATTATTATCTCTTAATATGATAAGAATGGATAATAACATCTGCCAGCACTTCTCAAGTAGTACATTCTGTTCTCCCATATCTCATTCAGTCTTCAATTGTTCTGTGAGTTTCCTTAATAATATTATTTATATTTAACATTTTTAAGTCAATATGAATTTTAATTGATGAGTTCACTTCATGTTTCCCTTTTTTTTCTTGAAAACCTCCTATTAAATTGATGATATACCCATGATTGGAATATAATATTCAACCCCAATTTACAGATTCAGAAATACAGACTTAGGTTCACAGACTTGTCAGGTGTCAAACAATTTAGGACTTAACAACCAGGTCAGTCTGATTTTAAAAACTGTGGTCTTAACCACTCCTTTTGTTACCTTCCTAGACAGTTTAGAAATCTAGCTAGAAGAATTTAGTCTTAGGAAATAGTGGGACTTGAATTTGGAAAGGAAGCCATTTGATAAAAGACTTACTTCTAGGCTGAGAAGTTTGAATATAATCTACTCAACAGTGGAATTTTGGATTGAAATTAAGAATCGTGGTTACTTTAAAAGTAATCTTTATCACCTTGGTCAGTTTTTTGCAGGGGTATAGCACTGGGGTTTGAACTCAGTCTTGTGCTTACTAGGCAGGCACTTTTCTACTTGGGCCACATTACCAGCTCCTTTTGGTTTAGTTATTTTCCTAATAGGTCTTGCTTTTATGCCCAGGCCAGCCTGAAACACCATCCTCTTGTTTACATTTCCCACATAAGTAGGATGACAGACATGCTCCTGCACCCAACTTGTTATTGGTTAAGATGGGCTCTCACTAACTGTTTGTGTGAGTGGCCTCTAATCGTGATCTTCCTGATCTCTGCCTCCCAAGTAGCCAGGATTTTATGCATGAGTCACCATCCCCAGCCACGTTGGCCAGTTTCAGGTCTGGACTCACTTATACATAAAACTGCCTCTTAAATTTCATTTCCAGGTACCCTAGAAAAAGAAATAGTTTGATAGAACTTCCTGATGACTACAGCTGCCTCCTAAATCAAGCTTCTCATTTCAGGTAAGAAGAAAGTGTGTGTGTGTGTGTGTGTGTGTGTGTGTGTGTGTTTTAAATCTTTTCCTGAGCTTGCATTTATTTTATACTAACACCAACAACCTTAACTTTTTTAAATGTGACCAGAACATCCTCTGTAATAGTGATTGTCAGCTTTTTTTAATTGAGATGAAATACACATAAACAAAAAATTAACTATGATAGAGTATTCAATTCAGTGACTTTTAGTATATTCGTAATATTATACAACTACCATCCTCTCTAGATTCAAAACTTTTTTTTTTTTTGTGATTTCTAACTCAGTGCCACATGCTTGCCACCCAGGTGCTCTTACTGTTTGAGCCACTTCACCAGCCCAGTTCAAAACTTTTTCATCACCCCAAATACTTTGTGCCCACTAATCACTTTTCATTCCTTCTGTACCCTATCTCCTGGTAACCAAGAATCTGCTTTCTTTCTTTATGAATTTATGTTTTGTGGATATATCATATAAGGAATCATACAATATATGACCTTTTGCATCTAGCTTCTCTCACTTAGCATGTTTCATAGTTTATTCCAGTTGTATCATGTATTAAGTTTGTTCCTTTTTTGATTAAGTAATAGGCCGTTTTATGTATATATCATAATTTGTTCCTTCATTCACTAATGATCATTTTTACTATATTTATGATAGGATTGCTTCCCCTTTTGACTGTGAATATTCATATTCTTTGTGAACATAAGATTTCGTTTCTTTTGGGTATATACCTAGAAATGGAATTTGCTAGGTCATATGGCAATTCTGTGTTTGTCTTTTGGAAAAAATGGCAAATCCTTTTCCATATTACTGCACCATTTCACATTACTACCTCTTCATTTCTTCACATCCTTGCCTGCCCCTCCATGAACTACCCAATAAATCTGCACATATGATCCCAGTTTTTTGAGGACAAGGTTCATTTGCTCACCATGGCACAAGTAAGCATTCCAGGAAAGCAGCTGCCATTCCCATAGATTCCTGCCATAGGGCTGGGAACAGAATGGTAGCTGCTACACAAAATGCCAGCATTTAGCAGCCTCTTCCTTTATCAAGCAGTCCCTGGATGCTGCAAGTGTTCGGCTAGATTTGAGTCCCAAGACAGTTCTTCCCAGCTCAGGAGTTGGTTTATTAGAGGACCAATATCTGGAGCTCCCTCTCCCACCATCCTCTCTGATGTAACTCATTAATACTTTTTTTAAGCCACAGGAATTATTTTTTCAAATAAAATCTTATGTGGAAGCCCATCATAACAGCAAATCAGACAGTAGCATGGTGACTCAGGATCAAGCCTTAATTCTGCAGAGGATAAAAACCCCTGAGGCTTGTTTGGTACAGGGGCCCCTCCAACTTCAGTCAGAACTTCTCTAAAGCAGTGAATCCTAAACTTGTTTTTGTTTTGTTTTGTTTTTTCTGTCTCTCCCTATTCACTGATCATTTCAAGTAGTAAAACAACTGGATCGTAACAAAGACTGGTGAGAAGTAAAATAAAATATACTTACCACATGTGAATCACTTATTAGTTACTATTAGTAAAGCATAAGCTTAAACATATGATTCTATATGATAAAATCATGTTCTATGAAGTTAAAAATGATTTTATCTTACTTAATATAATGTAAGTTTTTGAATAACATAAAACCAGTCAGTGGCCACCATTGACATATCATTGAATGGAGAGACTGTATTCATATTTGCTTTAGCTATTGGGATGTGAATATTTCATATTTGAATCACAATGCATCTTGTCTTAAAAATATTAAGCCAAAACTTCCATAGTTAAAATTGTGTATCCTGAATACTTGAGTGGCATCACATCACCACCCAAAGCAATCCAGATTGATAATGGTGACATGAAACTAGTAGTAACTTGTAAATAAATGACAAGAGTCTTAGCAGCCTGAAAATCAAAGCCTGTTCAAGATTGCATTGATGATGTACTGGTAACTGATTGTTACAAGCCATGAAACTAGGAGATTTACCTGTCCCAACAGGGACTTGGGTAGCCCGTACTCCAGCCTCTGTTTCCAGACAAGATCTCTTGCCTGTCAGCCAACTAAAGGAATGATTGAAGCACTTTATCCTCTTAATCATCAAAATATTATCTAGATAACTTCACAGATTGCATACAGCTTTAAATTTAGTGGTTCTCCTAATCTTAGGGCTACAGTACTACCAAAGAAGCCCAGTAAAGAGGTGCTGTCTCCAGGCGTTAAAGGATGTCAGGTTGTGGGCTCTTAGGGGGATCTGAAAAGGGTTTTGACCTTTAATTGCAGTGAAGATCCTCTTGAACGATGTTACCACTAACTTGTTTCAAGTAAGAATGAAGATTAAATTCTATTATCTCTTCCAGTTTCATTGTTATCACCAGTTTCTGTTACAACTAAACCATCTCTAGTGTGGGAGGGCACTGGGGTTTACAAGTTGCTCTGTCATTTGAGCCACACCTCCAGCCCTTTTTGGTTTACTTTATTTTTCAGATACAGTCTTGCATTTTTGCACAGGTCTATCCTTAGACCACTCTCCTCCTACTCCCTCTTGAGTAGCTGGGATTGCAAGCATGTGCCATGTGCCACTCAGTTACTATTATTTAGTCTCCTCCTACCCACTTTCTATCTGTAGGTTGGCTACTGGCTTGGAATGAGTCAGCCTGCTTGGCAATGTGAGCTTTATCTATAATAAGTGACTATAATTATAGTCGGGCACCAGTGGCTCACTCCTGTAATCGTAGGTACTTGGGGGCTGAGATCAGAAGGATTGCAGTTTGAGGTCAGCCCAGGCAAATAGTTCATAAGACCCCATCTCCAAAATAATCAGAGCAAAATGGACTGGAGGTGTGGCTCAAGTGGACATGAAGCCCTGAGTTCAAACCTCAGTTCCACCAAAAAAAATGCTATAATTATATTATATTCTCCAGCATCCCCTGGAGGTGAAAATAACCTCTCATCTGCAGAAGATAGGAATGGAATGTAAACAATGGTAGTTTCTTACCTTGCCTGAAAAAAATGGGGATCAGAAAATAAACTGTCAATACCCTGTTAGAGATTCTTTTTGATGGTCTCTATTGTGACTCTAGTTGGCTCTCACTTATTTTTTTTACTGCTCGGATAAGTATTCTTGATGTTTCCCATTGTGTCCATATACTGCAGAGATAGGAAGAGCATGAGAATCCTTTATTTTAAAGATAACCCCCATCTCCCTTTGGAGAATGTTACAGCAAGGCTCCATCACACACTATGTAAAAGGGTTAGATCTCACATGGTTCAAGTAAGTCATCTCTGTCACTTTTTCCTTCCTAAGACTGGCTGTGATGCTCAGATGGAATAGTGTATCACATCAAAAGCTACACTCTCTCATTTCAATCCTGAAGATCTCAGTTTTTCAAAGAAATGGGGTGGTGGCATGTGTTTGGACCCTTACTGCAAAATGTAATTTTTTAAAAACAATTCCACACTTTATGATCATATTCCTCCAACACTGCAGACATAGCCTGATTAAACCAGTATAAGAGAAGCAGTTGGCTTTGTTGGTCATGTTAGATGAAACTGAATTCTATAAGTGAATCTGTAAGTGAAAACACAAATGTTCCCTTGTGTTTTAAGAGCTTTTCTTGCTGGAAAAGGACTAGTGAAGCTGGGCAATAGTGGCTCATGCCTATAATCCTAGCTACTTGGGAGACTGAGATCAGGGGTATAACAGTTTGAGGCCAGCCTGAGCAAATAGTTAGCCAGACTCCATCTCAAAAACAACCAGAGTGAAATGGGGTAGAGGCACAGCTCAAGCAGTAGAGCTCCTGCTTTGCAAGCACAAAGCCCTGAGTTCAAACCCCAATCCCCCAAAAAAAGGATCAGCGATGAAAATCATGCTTCATTTGCTAATTAGATATGCTGCTTTTTAAATTTATCTACCACATTGAATGTTTCCTTCCCTTTCAAGGTGTCCACGGTCCTCGGATGATGAACGAAAGCATCCTGTTCTCTGTCTTTTCTGTGGGGCCATACTATGTTCTCAGAACATTTGCTGCCAGGAAGTCGTGAATGGGGAAGAGGTTGGAGCTTGCATTTTTCACGCACTTCATTGTGGAGCAGGAGTCTGCATTTTCCTGAAGTGAGTAGTGAGTGATCTGGAAGCTTGATAAAGAACTCAGGAAACATATATCTAATCTAGAGATGCCATTATGGTGGGGCAGTATGTTGATAGGAAGTGATTGATCAGAAGTTAGAGCATAGCAGGGCGCCTACAATCCTAGTTACTCAGGAGGCAGAGATCAGGAGGATTGCAGTTTGAAGCCAGCCCCAGGCAAATAGTTAATAAGACCCTATCTCAAAAATACCCACCACAAAAAAATACTGGTAGAGTGGCTCAAGCCACCTAGCAAGCCTGCACAGCAAGCATGAGGCCCTGAGTTTAAATCCTAATGCCACCCAAAAAAAAGTTAGAGCATAAACCCTTTATTCATATTAAATTGCATTTGAGAAGAATTACAAAATAAGTAGTGAAAAATTGGATTCCATTCATCTTTCCATTATTTGCAGAAAATCTTAAATGGGATAGACTTTGTATTAATGACTCTGGCATTATGTTCAGATAAAATGAAAGAACTTGTAGTCCTAAGCTTAGTTTATAAAATACATGTGCATTAATGTGAGTCAATGCCCTGTATGGCTATCCTTATCTCAACCAGCAAAAACCCTTGTTCCTTCCTATTATTGCTTATACTCTTTCTACAACAAAATTAGAAATAAGGGCAAAATAGTTTCTGCTGGGTATTGAGGGGGTGGAGGGGAGAGGGAGGGGGTGGAGGGGAGAGGGAGGGGGTGGAGTGGGTGGTAAGGGAGGGGGTGGGGGCAGGGAGGAGAAATGACCCAAGCCTTGTATGCACATATGAATAATAAAAGAAAAAAAAGTACATGTGCATTAAATTGTTGTTTTAGGTTGTTCTTTGAATGTTATTTTTTTCATTTTTTTATATTAACCCAGCATTTCCTCTAAACTTTCAGCAAAAATTTGAGAGTAGAACAAATCACATATATTTGTGAAAAGAAAGCATAGGTTGCTTGCCTGAGAGAAATAAAACTCAAAGTGCATATGTGTGCTTTTTCTTTCCCTTCTCCCCACGTAATGCAGGTTTGTTTACATAAAACCAAATATCCTTCTAACTGTGGAATGTATTATTATTGCCTAAAGGCATCTTTTGAACCAAGAGGAAAGAAGGCATAGAAGTCAAATCCAAATACCTATTTCCTTCTAGGGAACCCGCAGGAATAAACCTACCACTTATCCAAATGTTTATTTATTTATTTTATAATTTATTTCTGTAGTACTTACCCAATTCTCTACTGTAAGTGTGCCAAGTGTCCTCAGGGTACCCAGCAGTGGTTCTTTAATTTTTATGGCTAGAGGCTGACTCTAACTGAAAAGCCTTTATACTTCTCTAGTTGACACTGTGACTGGCATGTGGTTATTAGACTAGGAGATGTGTTCATTAAGCTCTCTCCCCTATCTAGGCTGGAAGTTAAGAAACACAACAGGATCAGTCCCAGCCACCATTTTCCAGGGTATCTGTGGCTCAAGAAAGACAGCCTCCTCCCTCTCTTTAGTATGTTCAGCCAATATTACTGGTCCCATCTCCCTAAATACTGATCCTTTCCTATCACTTCAAGAAAAAATAGTGAAATTTTTTCTCTTTTATTTAGACAAAACTCAATTTGGTCTACTCATCAGTGTTTATGTTGCTTTTATACTGAATTCTTAATAGATGCTGGTCATGTCTTTTCTCTGGACTAACTTTGATGCAGTTTCTATCGTTTGTTTGCACATATGCACTTAGCAGTATTTCCTGTTGTTGTTTTGTACTTCAGAATCAGAGAGTGCAGAGTGGTCCTGGTGGAAGGTAAAGCCCGAGGCTGTGCCTATCCAGCCCCTTACTTGGATGAGTATGGAGAAACAGACCCTGGGCTAAAGTAAGATTTTTTTTTCTAGGAAGGTTATGATTGCTTCTCTTGTATATTGTTTTTTTTGTAATTATAGTCACATCATTGTATGTGGATGGTAACAGTTCTTAAACACAAAAACTAATGCTAAATATTGAGGGATATTTTTGAATAGCTGCAAATGAAAAATGTTAAATGTGATATCCTAAATTTCACTAACTTTGTACTTCTTCAAAAATGAAAGTAATACTTCTCCAAAGTTTTTAAACACACCATCCTAATGTTTAAATGTCCTATTATTTTTAATCGATCTTATTTCAGAATTAGTTAGGATGCATAGAACTGATATATGAAAGTGCGTAATTATTGTTCCCATGGCAATATTTGGAGTTTTTTATTGGCTCTGTCAGCCTCCTTTGCTTTTGAGAATTAGCAGAATACTTAGACTCCTGAACTTTCCTGTGTTCTTCCCTGATGGTCGGAATTGGTGTCCTCCTTAGACATTATTATAATGAAGAGCTAAGACAACTGGTGGTCCCAAAAGTACATAAAGATTAAGAAGCTAGGCATGGTGGTACATGCCTGTAATCCCAGCACTTGGGGGCTGAGACAGAAGGATGGTGTGTTCCATACCAGCCTGGGCTACATAGTGAGACCTTTCTAAAATATTGCTCAGAGGGAACAGTAAGGGACATTGGGCCTGTTTGATCATGTAGAGATTGGTTTCTATTGTGACAGCATTTGACCTGTCTTTAGGTGTAGAGATGTTGTGGAAATATTGACAGATGAGAAGCCAAGAGACACTCAGAGGAGTAGAGAACTCAGATTTTATTTTACGCCAGTGGGCTCAGACGTGTACCGTGTCTGAGCACGGAATGAAGGATTCACAGGATATTTAAAGGCAGTGTAGGGCATCAGGTTACAAGGAATGTGCTCTCCCATCAAGTAGGGGCTAGTAGAGAGTTAGAGACCTAAAGTTGTTTAGATAAGAACAGCAGGGGAGTCCTGCTTTGGAGACAAAGGAAAGTGAGAATGAATGTTTATCTCTGCATGGTGCCCTTTCTCTCTGAACTTTTTGCATAGCTTTAATGGGCAATTTCTCATGCTTTACAGCCCTGTTTGAAGTTAAAGCTTTTAATTGGCAGCTTACCCTGTTTTATGGCCCTGTTTCAAGGCTGTCTTCCTCTTCAGGGAGAAATCCACTTGAGTGGTAAAAGTAGTTAATAATTGAGGATAATCTGAGTTGTTCTAGCACTTTGGAAATTGACAGCTAAAATGGTTGAATGCTTCAAAGAATGAGATCTCACATTCTCCATTGTTAGCAATAGCCAACCTTTAGTCATTTTTGGATTAGCTATTACATTGTCACAAACTGTGCAACCCTAGAATTGAAGTGTAGTTATTTTATTTAAATATTTGCTAAGCCAGGCACAGTGGTGCATGGCCATAGTCCCTGCTACTCAGGAAGATGAAACAGGAATATCACTTAAGTCCAGGAATCCAAACCGAGCCTGGGTAATACAGCAAAAAACAAACAAACAAACCCATCTCAAAAAATAAATGAGAAAATATTTGCTAAGGACCAGTAAGTTTATTTTATCATAAGAGCAATTACAACTGAACATTTCTGAGTTACAGAATATAAGTTAAGGGCTTAGTGTTGTGCCTCAGACCTAACTTTTACTGTGCAAAGACTTAAGTTGAAGCTGGGTAAATTGTTTGAGGCCAGAAAGCCATTCAGGCTAACCACCCAGAAAAGAATATAATTCTGCTTTAAGTTATAAACCTCACTGGCCATTTAAATGAGATCTCATTATGCCCTTGGTGTACTTGACTTAATTTCCTGAGTAGTCGAGAAGTAAATTACTTCTTCTTTAACTAAATAATGTATCAAGTTCTTAGTGATCAATAGTGAAGAGATACCCCTTTTTAAGCTCTCTCCTGGTGTTTCCTCCCAGCTCCTGGAACATCTCAAGAATGCACGCTAGTTTAGACAGTAAAGATTTAACAGTCATTTGATTCAAATTTACATGTTTTGTTTTGTTTTTTCCCCTGAAGGAGGGGCAACCCTCTTCACTTATCTCGGGAGAGATATAGGAAGCTCCATTTGGTGTGGCAGCAACACTGCATTATAGAAGAGATTGCCAGGAGCCAGGAAACTAATCAGATGTTATTTGGATTCAACTGGCAGTTACTGTGAACATCAACTCTGCCTCAAGACAATCACGAATGACACCAGTAATGAAGACTGATTTAAAATTATGGAGAACTTTCTGAGGGCTGGGGAAATATTGGAGGGGCTTCTGCTCCATGTCCAGATTCACATACATCAATAAAATATTCCTTAATGGAGTATTACTTTCAATTAGCAAACATATGCTTCATGGGAAAAAAGGACATAGATTAATCTGTTTTATGTTCTAGAACACTAAAGAAATACTTGCACACCCCAAGTGACTGATTTTGCTAATATTTTCAAGAAAACTCATTCCCTTAATAATCTGTCCTATTTCATTTCATTTCATCCACCTGGTAAATGAAGTTGCATCAAGGAGTCGTAGGCATTTTAATGTGCTGGTTAGCTCTTCTATAATTTTGTATTTGGTGTTTTCCCAAGTGTAATTCAGTTAGCACTGGTCACTGACAAGATTCCGATCATCTGTTAAGGTCTTCTTTGCAACTAAAGAGGATTTGCAGAAACCGGTATATTTCATTTGAGAAAGATTTCAAAAAAGTAAGCTTATTTCTCTCTTAAGGAGATATCCTTAATGTAACATTACCTATTTAGCCAGAAATTTATCTAAATGTCTTTATAGACAGAGTGTGAGTTCTTCTGGTATGAAAAATGTCTTTCCCACTGTAGACCTCAAGAAGAGTAGGATAATGTATTCATTATTAGTTTCTGATGGTACAAAGAGCCTTTATAATCCTCACCTTTTACTACAAATAGCTTTGTTGAGTTTCAAGTTAAACTTTTAGTTTTCCAAAGGCACGTTTCTACAGTGAAATCTCATATCTCTTGATTATGGCACCATCCTATTTGACTCTCCAAAACCACTGCCATTCTAAAGTAAACTATTTGTAGAATGAGGACAAGAAAAATTCCTTGATTAAGGCTGGAGCAGTGGCTCAAGTGGGAGGCTCTCAGTTCAAACCCAAGTACCACCAAAAAAGAAAAGAAAAGAAAATTCTCCCAATTAATGGAATATAACAGCTGTAAATTTTATGTAACCTTCTGTGTCTTTGTAAAAGACACTGGGTCCTTGGTTTGTTATCTTTGGGCAACCTTTTCATAAACTCATGTTTTATGACTAGCGTAAATAACCAAAAAAGGCTCAGTTGGCAGAGTGGCTGCCTAGTAAGCACAAAGCTTTGAGTTCAAACCCCAATACCACTCCCTCCCCCAGCCTCCCCCCACCAAAAAAAAAAGTCTGTGTCCCATTTTAACATGCTGTGGTTGAGCCACTTTGTTTATGAAAAGTGTTCTCCTAAGTCTGTGCATAGGCTTCTTGGTTCTTGGCTTTAACTTTTTATATCAAGAACTTGTATAAAACAGCAGGCAGAAGATAAATTGAAACCTTCCATTTTAGCTTCTGATGTTTTTGGTAATGTTAGCAGTTTGAAAGATGCATTCAAAAGATTGTATCTTATTTTGCCCTTGGCTACTTACTACTACCAAATATATATATATATGTTTTCCTACTTCCTTTTGCTCAGCAAAGGCAAGCAAGTAAAAATATATTTGCCAAGTGATCAGTGATACACATTTAGGACTAGATTTTTTGGTATTTTTTATGTAAAGTGGATTTTGCAGTAAGGGATTGGCATAAGCAGGCATCAGAATCACAATCATGATTTTCTACTTGGATAATTACTATTCTGAAGGTATCAGGAAATAGATACAACTGATGAGCAATTTGTAACAATAGGTGAAGATCATAAAATTACTCAGTTTGTCAAATTTGCCAGTTTGATTAAATTATTTGACCTTTTGTTTCTTAGTAATTTTTTTGGATGGATTGTTTGGGAAGTCTGAACTAGAATAGGCAACATAAAATGCTGACTTTTGCCCTAATTGACTATTCCTCATTTGGCAAGGATTACCTGATTTTCTTTGTAATCTTTTTATACTCCTTTCCTAAGTTCTGGAGTTAAACTATCAGGCTGCCAGAGGGACACTCTGGCACTGTCCAGCCATCCTTTACTGCCAAAGAGCCCATTTCATATTGAGTTCTGCTTGTTGACATTCAGATCCCTGCACAGTAGATGAACAATACTTCAGTACTGCCCTCAACCCTACCAATTTCTAAAGGTATACATAGGTCCTAGTGGTTTGCCTTCATCATTGCAAACAATTTAATTTTGCCTATAAAGTTTACTTACAAACAAGCAACCAAGTCACTTTATTTTCTGTGGTGTAATACGTGAAGAAACTGGTTGAACAGAATTTCTCCAAATCTGTTTTTCTAACCTTTGGTAAGGGACTGACAAGAATTTTAATGATATGGTAAAGAAAAATATCTGTATAATTAATTTATTATGTTGGTATATGGGCTATGAGTTCACCTTTTAGTGGTCATTTGTCATTTCATAACAACTATGCATTTTGGCTCACTGTGATGATGATCTGTATTTAGTGACTGCAACATGTTTATACCACTGATTCAAATTCCATTCATGATGAAGTTACACAGATAATGCATATATTGATATCTTTTATTGCAAAAATGTAAATTTAAAACTTGTATAATGTTCTTGTGCTTTTTTGAAATAAAATATCTTATATGTGTATATTTAAAAAGAAAGCAGGGACTTCTCATGTTTGGGGATTTGGGTTTGAAGTATAAAAATCTACACCTAGAAAGGGGCTTTATCAGCCCAACCAAGTTTTTTTTAAAGATAGATTTTTAGGATAAATGGGTCTCCAAACTTTTTGACCATACATTCCATCAGTAAATGATTTTTGAGCATCCATATCAAATATTTCATATAGTGCTATAGTAATATGTTAAGTACATTTTAAAATGTAGCACTGTCAAAGGTTACCAGTCAAATTTAACTCAACCAAGTTTACCCCATCAAGCTTTCCAAGGTGAAAGATAGAGAAGATTCTTAGGGTGGAGGCGTGGCTCAAATGATAGAGGACCTGTCTAGCAAGCATGAAGCCCTAAGTTCAAACCCCAGTTCTGCCCCCCGACTCCCACTTCCAAAAAACAAAAAAAAATGAGAAGATTCTCAAGGTTGCCAAGGACAAGAAACTATTATTAGCCTACCAAATCGAGGCTGGTGGAGTGTCTCAAGTGTTGAGAGTGCCTGCCTAGCAAGCATGAGGTCCTGAGTCCAAATCCCAGTGCCACCAAGAAAAAAATACTATACCCAGCAAAGCTATGCTTTAGAAATGGAAAGAGAAAAAGAAGAGAGGGAGGGAGGAAGGAAGGAAATGAAGAAAAGAAATGAAGGAGAGGTAAAGACATCCCCAGACAAAATCTGAGAGAATATGTCTTCACCAGATCTATCCTACAAAAAGTACTAAAAGGTCTTCAAACAGAAAGAACGATGATAGGGTTATAGCTCAGGGTAGGCCATTTGCCTACCATACACAAGACCCTAAGTTTGGTTCCCATTGCAAGAAGGGAAGGAAGAATGAAACACTGCCAAAAATAACTATATAGACAAATTCAGAATGTTTTAATATTGTAAATGTGATACATCAACCATTCTTACCATGAAAAAATAGAAAAGCTGAGCAGACCAATAATGACTAACAAATGAATAATCAAGTCTCCTTACCACAGAAAAGCCCAGAAACAGAAGTCTTCATTGTTGAATTCTACTAGGCATTTAAAGATGAACTAATGCCAATTTGTAAATGACTTCAAAAAATTGAAGAGTCTTCCAAACTCATTTTACATGTCCAGCATTATACCCTGATACCAAAATCAGACAAGAAGAACACAACAGAACTACAGGTCAGTGTCCTCTATGAACACAGATGACAAAAAAATCCTCAACAAAACAATAGCAAGCTAAATCAGATAACACATTAAAAAGATTATTCACCACAGTCAAGTGGGATTCATCCCAAGGATGCCAGGATGGTTGAATGTGTGCAATTCAATAATCACAACACAACACAACACATCAAAACATGAAGAAAAGCTTGAGATTATCTTAATAATCTCATTTGATAAAACTCACCACTCCATGATTAAAAACTAGGAATTGGGCTGGGCTTCGGTGGCTCACTCCTGTAATCCTAGCTACTCAGGAGGCAGAGATCAGAAGGATCACAGTTCAAAGCCAGCCCAGGCAAGTAGTTCACAAGACCCTATCTCGAAAAAACCCTTCACAAAAAGAGCTGGTGGAGTGGCTCGAGGTGAAGGCCCTGAGTTCAAACTCCAGTACCAAAGGGGAGGGTGGGGATCTCAAGGAATTAGTTATGGAAAGAATGTACCTCAACATAAAAGTCATTGCTCAAAAAGAAGGATTGTCATTAGACTTCCTGGAAGTCTAAAATTTCCTGGAAGCAACATTTTAAAATAGGTCTTTGAAGTATTTTTATATCAAGCCAAACTACTTAAAGGTCACACAGATCGTTAAAGACATGCTTATACTCAAGGAATTCTTTTTTTCCAAGCATCTTTCTGGAGCAGTTTACCACAGAGTAAGCTTCAGACAATCATAAAATGAGGGTGAGTGTTCCATATTCTTAATTGTAAGAATTAGACTAAAGTCAGGCATGGCGATGCATGCCTGTAATATACCAGCACTCTAGAAACTGAGTCAGGAGAATCACGAGATCCAGGCCAGCCTGGTCTATATAGGGAGATCATGTCTCAAAAAAAGAATTAGACTAATAATGTGGGGAGGGGAGGTAAGGGAAACAAAATCAGATGCTTTGAAAATGTACAAGTAATACAACTAACAGAAAATGAGGAAATGGGTGAGTATGTATGTAGGAAGTTAAACAAGATCACTGGTAGTAGCCAAAAAGCAAAGATACTACTTAAACTGATGTACAAATCAAGAAATAAAAACTTAAGTACACAAATTAACAGTAGAGGGGCTAATGGAGTAGCTCAAATGGTAGACCACCTGCCTCCCAAACCTGAGGCCCTGAGTTCAAACCACAGTGCCACCAAAAAAAAAAAATTGGTAACAGCCTAAAACTAGTGGTGAGAATGGAACCAAGTAAGAAACAGTTTCAAAACTGCTCACATATTGCAACAGTTGAAGAAATAATGTTCATAAAGATAATTAAAGTTTACAACTAGAATTCAATACCAAAGTGGTGTGCCAAAGAATATACACTACACAGTGAACAATATGACAAAATTAAGACCAAACATCAATTCTGTTAATAAATTTAAATTGACTTAACTCATTTTAAAAAATCAGATAAACCAGCAAACTAATTCAAGTTGAAAACAGATTGGGCTGAGGGTGCAACTCATTTGTAGGGTACTTGCCTAGCATAGTTTAAAAAAAAAAAAGCCAGACACCAGTGGCTCTCCCTGTAATCCTAGCTACTCAGGAAGCAAAAATCAGGAAGATCACCGTTCAGAGCCAGCCCTGGGCAAATCATTCCCGAGACTCTATCTCAAAAAACCAATCACAAAAAAAGAAAAAAGGACTGCTCAAGTGGTAAGAGTGCCTGCCTAGCAAGCATATGACGCCTCGAGTTCAAACTCCAGTGCCACCAAGAAAAAAAGAAAATTAAAAGCACATGAAACGATCAACATCATTAGTCATTAAGAAGATGCAAATGAAAACCACAATGAGACAACCATGTCTAACAGGATGGCTTCAATCAAAAACATGGACAAGGGCTGGGGGCCTGGCTCTAGCGGTAGATCCTCGAAAGTGCGAAGCCCTGAGTTCAAACTCTAGTAACACACGCACGCACAAAGATGGGTAATAATGTATGGGTGAGGCTGTGGAGAAATTGAGCTCTCACGGAGTGAGAATGTAAAATAGTACCACTTCTTTGAAAAACACTTTTTGGCATTTCCTGAAAAGAATAAGTTACCTATGAATATGACCCAGCAAATTCCACTGCTAGGTATATACCTAAGAGAATTTAAAATACATGTACACATGCACACACACAAACACCCACATTGAAGATTCATAGTATCATAATATTCCAGAACAAGAAACTGTCCAATTTTCCATCTCTGATGAACAAATAAAACATATATCCATACAATGGAAAATTATTCACTCAAAAAGGAAAGAGATTATGATGTGTATTTCAACCTGAATTAATCTTTTTTGTTATTTTTATTTTTATTTTTTTGTTGGGTTTTTTTTTCTGAATGATTCTTGAAAACATTGTGCTAAGTAAAAGAAACCAGTCTCAACCTTATGTTGACTCCATTTATATCTATTGTCTAAAATGAACAAAAAGTGGATTAGTGATTGTCAGAAGCTGAGAAGAAGATGTGAGGAGTGACAGCTAACAGGAAGTTTCTTATTAAGTTGATGAAAGTATTCTGGGTTTGATAGTGGAATTGTCACACAGCCTTGTGAATATCCTAAAAATACTGAATTATATATTTTGAAGGGGTAACTTTTAAGGTATATGAATTATATCTGAAATTTGAAAAATTAAAAGAACATGAAAAATTTTAAATAAAGGGACAAACTACACAAATATGTTTCAAAGCATGAATGATTAACCTGTGGTGCATTCCTACCAAAGAGTACTACTCAGCAGTAAAAGGGAAAGGAATGGTTGATACACACAACTTGGATGAACTGCACAGAAACTATGCGAAGTGAAAAAGAAATCTCTAAAGGAGGCATGCTGCGTAATTCCACTTCTGCAGTGGCTGACGTATGCTATAGAGCTAGTGAATACATCAGCAGCTGCTGGTGGTGAGGAGAAACGTGAGTGCGGCTCTAAGGGGAGTTGGAATTGATATGGCTTCCTACAGATACCGTAACAGATTAACAGAAACTAGTCGCTCAGAACAATGCAGAGGTAATCTCTCACGGTCCTGCAGGCCAAAGTCTGTAATCCAGGTTTAGGTGAGGTCAGTCCCTGCTAGAGAAGAGTTGGTTCCAGGCCCCTCTTCTTTCATCCCCTGGCAGTCCTTAGCAATCCTTGCTGTGCCTTGGCATTGAAGCATGTGGTTCAAGCCTCCATCTTCACATGGCTTCCTTCTGAGAGCCTGCATGGCTGCCTTTACTGTCTGCCTATTCCTCTTGCCCTCATAAGGATACCTGACAGGGATGGTCGCATTTTGAGATCCTTAATCAAGTCTGCAAAGATGGTTTTAAAAAAAAATTCCTGAAGTTAGAAAGAAGTTGTTTGAGGTTAGAACATGACACATGTTTTGGAGCTAATGTTATGACCCAACACACTATGGACCTCAGATCTCAGCATCCAAAGAGGTCAGGGACACATTTTTAAAAGAAAGGAAACTAACAAAATGGTAATGGGGGGCAGAGGGGAGGAGGTGGCCCAAACAATGTATACACATCTGAGTAAATGTAAAAACAACAAAATATAAATGGTAATACAGTTTTACATAGGTTAAATTACTAAAAAATGCATAAACACCATGGTCAATTTTTTTTTCTAAAAAGGTTTGTATCATGCCTGTAATCCTAGCTACTCAGGAGGCAGACATCAGGAGGATCTCAGTTCAAAGCCAGCCCAGGCAAATAGTTCACAAGACCCTATCTCAAAAAAAAAAATCCAATGGAAAAAAGGGGCTGGCAGAGTGGCTCAAGGGGTAGAGTGTCTGCCTTGCAAATGTGAGGCCCTGAGTTCAA